TGTGTGTGTGTGTGTGAGAGAGTCCTGGCTCAGCACTGGCCTTGGCCATGTTAATGTCATTATAGCTGGTGTACAGACGAGAGGCCTGGCCAGTTAGTGGCATTGTTGAGTATCACCTTACGCTTACGTTGCTTCCAGCTGGCCTGCGGCTGCCAAAGCTCATTGAAATAGCCACTGTGTATGACTGTGTGGGTGTGTGCATGAATATGTGTGTGTGTGTGTGCATAAAAGTCTGTGTGCACTTCTTTCATCTAAACAGCCACAAAACACTCCCTAAGCCCACTTAAAGGAAAACACCAAGTTTTTGAGAGAATGGGACATTACTCAACACATGACATGTTTTGGATGAAAACACCAAAATCAATAATGTGTCCCCGGTAGACTCTGATTCATTAGAATATAAAGTGATCATGTAGTCTGCATAAGTTAGTCAGTTATCTTAAATGTGTGACAGCTTTGCACAGGAGATTGGTAAAGTTTACATGAAATATGATAGAAAAATAATACACTGCTTTGACCCACGAGGGACTACGTTTCCTGTTTCCATAGGAGGGGAACATGGTGGGTGATGGCAGACTGAGTGCAGGTAAATCTACAGGCCACATAAGAAGGGACACAAACTGTTTTTATCACTTTGGATGATGCTGGGTATGCACACAATCACTTAAAAGATGAGGATCAATTGCAAGAACTGAACGATGGTGTCTGTGCTCACTTAATTTATTTTGGACTGTAAAAAATTAGGCATAACTTCACAAAACAAAAAGCAATTAAACAAAAGAATTTACACAATTCAACACAATTTTACTGACCAAAGAAGTCGGTTAAAACTAGAGCTTATACAATCTTTAAATACAAAATCTATTAGCCATCAGAAGTCAGAGTAAACAGAAGTTCTTTTGTCCTTACCACACTATTTATGAATCATATATTTTTATACTTGTTAATTAAAATGTTTCAGAAGTTCAATTTGCAAGGTTTGCCACAAAGAATTCTGCAGACCTCATGTTCATGAGCATGTTCTGTTTCTTGAACATCTCTCTCAGACTAAGTTCTGTAAGCTTTTTGCAAATGTTCATTCTTAACTTTAGTACAGTTTTGAAATTGACCAGATCTTAACATTTTAGGGTGTATAATTTAATGTGGCCCATTATAGAGAAATGTCTTTTGTCTGTACCCTGTTGAATAAAGCCGGTCAGCATGCCTGCAGTTTCTGTTGGTAGAGCAGAATAAGACCGTAAGAAGGCGAGGGAGGGAGGAAATGGTTGTATAGAAGTTTATATTGGCCCTGCTGGTGATTTTGGTCTTTGTAGGAAGTGAGCCTGTGAAACCGACAGCTCAGACGGTTCCAAGTCTTGATTAAAGGTCGAAGTAATGCTGCTGCATTTGAAGCCTGAATGATATACATTATAATAATGTATACTACAAAGCTGAGTCTGGCACCTGCAAATCGACTGTTGAGTGTCTACTTCTTTTGGGGTTGGAGCCTCAAGGGGTGGAGGGCTGGTGGTTATGTTAAGGGCTATGAATAGGAGGAATGGTGAAAAGGAGAAGGAGGGGAGGAGAAAAAAAACAAAACAGAGGTGACTGACAGCTCTATCACCACACAGAAAAGTCTGGAAAAGGAAAGAGAGAAAGAAAGAAGAAGAAAATAGGAAGAGAGAGGGAACTACGAGAGGGGGACTAAGGAGGTTGCCAAACTTGATTGGTCCGGGAGGAGACAGTAAACGGTTGCGGGTCAGCTGGAGGCACGCCGTGCTGGCGGTAGGCGAGTTGTAACTGTGGTAATGAGCTCAATACGGTGTGGATTAAAAAAAAAAAACAATGTTTGGAGTGTTACCCTGGCAACGGTGGAGCGACGCAAACGCCAAGATGGGGAGAGACCAGGCGAAACGAAAAGAGTCGGGTGTCTCTTAAATTTAGAAATATACATTCAGCAGCAATCGTGTGTTAAACATACTGTAGCTGCACAGAGGGGATTTGTTTCTGTGGTACTTATTTGAACAGATTTTTTGAAAGTTTTAAAATGAGTCCTATGTTTTTGTAATTTAACTTGATATTTTTAATTAGTCGTCAATCTCCATCTTCTGCTTGTTTTTATTTATCTTTGCCCTTGCACACATCCTTTATTGTGTTTAATTAATTAAGTCCTTGGTTAGTCAACTTGTCTGCTTTGAAGTCAAGTGCAACTCTTCTTGCTCCAATTCATGCAGGGTTAAATAGTAATGTTATGGGGTGGGTTTTACTGTCTCAAAGTCATTCAGATTCAGCAGTGCCAGATAAAAGTGTGCTTCCTCTGTATAGTACAGTAATTGCCTGAGCAGCAGGACTCCAAAACCGCTTACATTGGGGGGTTTTAACCAGGTAATGCTTCTGTGATGAACAATCTGAAACAAAAGAGTAGCACAATCCAATAGTGTACACAATACAAATGGAGTCTCATGAAAGAGAAAGTTTAAAATGTCTATAATGCTGCTCCAAAAGGCAACAGTCCAGTATCAAACCAGCAGGCACACAGGCCAAACCTATTTCAATCTTGACTAAACAAAGCAAAGACAGCTTCTTTTCTTATTGCATTTGCCACAAGAACTTTCAAGTAGACCAGAAGTAGACCAACCGCATGGAGTATTCGCAAATTTTGACCCAAGTCTGCTGTTAATCTGTATTTTGGATCAGTCTACCTCTATTGATGCTGTCCTAGTCCATTTTCCAAAAGCCTAACTCTACTGTGCATTACTTTTCCATCAGCCTCCTCCCATTTACCAGGAACATTTGTACGCCTCTAACTACTTACAGTGCTTTAAATTATGTTTTGTGCATCTTATAGCGCTAAGAAATATTGCAAAGCGGTCATGTTTAGCATCATTTTGAGACCTACAAGTACGTTAACTGTTAGCGTTAGCACCAAAGTTTCACTTCCAGAAGTCTGAAAGCGTCATCATGAGCAAGAACTGCTCGCCCCAGGCTATTGTTTAGCACTACAACCTTAAAAAGAACTTGGACTCAAGGCCTTGTTCTTGTCACTGGACTAGTTTCCATTCCACTTCTCTTCCTTTTTCTTTTGCTCACTCTATCTCTCTCTGTCTCTCCCTCTTTCTCTTTTCTTTAGTCCTTTGTTAGGCGGTTGCTTCCTGCGGTGAGCATGGCACTGCCCAGGCACATGTTCTGTGGTGGGCCTGATTACAGCCCTGCCGTAGTGCTGACATTGGCCCGCGCCGACTCCTCATCTGTAAACACACACACACACATACACACACAACACACACATATGAATATATACACGTCGGCCCCTAAGTTCCACCAACTCTGCCAGCGGCTACCGCGGCATGACTTCACCCGGCAACCATTCCTTGCGTCAAACAAAATGCCTCTGTCACCAGAAAAAGGGGGAGAGCCGAAAGAGAGGAAGGGAGGGAGGGAAGGCAGAGGAGAAGAGAAAAGAAGAGACGAGAAGAGAAGAGAGCAGTGGAGAGGAGAGAAGGAGTGTAGCTGTGCGGTAGTTGTGCGGAGGATTCGATGTTTTCCACCGCAGTTTGGGAGCGTGGTTGGGTAATTTTAGCTGGAAGGCCCCAAGGCAGGCTGCTCGAAGAAGTTATTTGTCTCAGAAATGGAGTGGCAGGCAGAAAGCAGAATCAGAGAGCTCATGGTGATGGAAGATTGGGGAAGACACTGTTGATTAGCATGGCCTTGAAAGGACTATGACTTGTCTATAAGCTTTTTGCATAACCAACATCATGACTCATTTCCCTCAGATAGTGTAAAAAAAAAGTATAAAGCACCCCTACAATTAGTTTTATTGTCACTACCATCAAAGTCATCCCTAGTGAATTTAAAAGATGCCAGGCATACACAGGGACCTGGTCCAGACATTAAGTAATAGGAACTTAATAAGAATTCAAAATGTAAACTGATTTATTTTTTGGAAGCTTGCATCATATTTCTGACAACTTCAGCAATTATATTTGCAGCTTACTTCAAGTAACAGTTCATATCTTTTTATGTATTGCAGGAGCGTCTTCACTATGAGACGCTGAGCCAGCACCTGGGGAAGCTCGGGGAGGATGCTGGGAAAATGGTCCATCGAGTCATTGACCTGACAAGACCAGAAGATCTGGATGGTGAGCACCTCTGTTTCTATCTCTCTGTGTTGTCTGTGTGTCTCTGTCTTTTGCCTTATTCTTCTTCTCTTGTTTCTGGATGGTTTTACCTACTTTTCTGAAGACTCTTCACCGCCTCATTTTCAGTTACTTATAATCTTGGTGATTCAGAAATGTATGCAGACCCACAAAAAGTATGATAGAAAATGGAAGGCTAGAGGGTTATAAAGGGAAGGAGTCGCTGGAGTTTTGAGTAGCAGAGTCTTAAGTTAGAAGAGGTTACATCCTGTTCAGACTAAATTGACCCATAACTCCATGGGCCCCACATAGAAGAGGCCCTACTTCTGGGGGTCTTGCATCTCAGAGCTCCACAATAAAGAAGAAGGCATTTTTCAGAAAGCCAGAACATGCAGGTATTCAGTGAATACAAATATTTATTGTGCTCCTCAGGAAGCTACGGTGAAGGACACCCTCAAAAGCTAAACAGTGTTCAATGTCAACATTTTACTCTCTTGAAAAATGTCACACTGTTATTATTCCTGCAAGTACATGACAAGAGGAAGACTGAATTCTCCTCCTTTTTTCCACAAGTGTTTGTGACACAAGATCCCACCCAGTACAAGTATGCAAACAAAAGCACAAGAAGACGGGCAGCAAGTCTGTTGTAGTTAATGGTGAATGGAATTCACTGCAAATATGAATTCTGACATTTTTAATGACTGATAAGAAGAACTTCATGTATTGTGAATTCCATGCAGTTAGCAGATACTGTTTCCTTATCTGAATGTAGTCTAAGGACACTTACTTGGTGTTAAAAGTCTTTTTTCTTCTCTCAACCCACCTGTTACTCATAAAGAACCGCTGTTTACAAGCCATGAGGAGTGCTCATTGTGGTTTAGTTTAGAATCAGAGGAGTAAACACAGGCGCATAGGCACTGAGATACTATCAGGCGGAAGCAAACTGACTATGGTGTGTCTACTTTGTGTGAGCATGTTGAGGGCATCCTAGCAAGACCCCCATCAGACTTTTGTTATACATCCTTTCTCAGGAGGCAGGGCTCATCCTAATCAGTGCAATATCCTGCAAAGTATGAAAGATTAATGTGTCAATGAGGGGTATATAGACAATGTGATTTGTTTGTGTCATATAGGGAATAATATCACAGAGGCACGAGTGTTCAGGGAAGCACGTGGCAGGAACAACAGTGAGCCCCACATCAAGAGGCCCATGAACGCCTTCATGGTGTGGGCCAAAGACGAGAGGAGGAAAATCCTGCAGACCTTCCCCGACATGCACAACTCTAACATCAGCAAGATCCTTGGTGAGATTTTACAGACTTATCTTTGACAGGAGAGAGAGCGTTCCAAACTAAATCTTAACTCCTACAAGTTCCAGGCTTCTTCCACCTAATGTTCTGCTGTTGGAGGATTCTTTTCATTTTTATCTCCTTGTAAGAATGTTTGGTTCAAATCGAGTTGGGGTGAATTATGCTTTCTATGTGCGTGTACTAAATGTATCAGCGTTTGTGTTGAATATTAGAAAATGGTAGAAAATTGAGTGAAAAAAATTAATAATATAAAAATTCGGATGAAAATTAAATTTAAAATGACCTGTTGTAGTTACTTAGAGACATTGATAGATAATCAGCAGCTCATTTGCATGAGCCCTCAGATTTTTCTTTAGACAATTTCTGATCTCTTCTTGCGTGGACCTCATTTACTATAAACTGTGGCAATCGGTTTCTTTTCATCACGCCAATTCATCACCTTTTGGATGTGTAGGGGCATAAAATCTTGGTGAAAGTCAGTTTAAAACAATCTTATAGGAAATCTGTGTATTATTTAGTTTAAAAATGATCATTATATGCTGTACATCAGCACTTTACAGACACGCACACACAACTCCTTCCACTATCTCGTTAAAAGACACAACGCGTTTCTACAGTTCACAGGGTTCCCTACCAGCAGGCTGTGGACTATAAGAAGGACTAGTGTGTTTTTAAACCTGGAACAGTTCACACACAGAGCTCCACTGTGTCAGCTTGACTAGTGTGATGGATGCATTCAGTTAAAAAGTAGCTGTGTTGATACTAACCTATTCGACACAGATAGCCATTCACACGGTTCTGAGCATAACGGTTGTTTGGGAAATGTTCTTAAGACCTCCACTGTCCGACGCAGGGCTCCGGTGAGCTCGAGGGATGCTGAATGTGAATGCCCCTCCTGAGCAGCATTAACAAATTGATATTTCTTAGGTGGTTCTGTGTTGTTGACTTGGAGCTCTGAATGGGCTCTGATAAAAGGGTGTTTTGTGTTCGACAAAATGGTACCTGCATTTATATGATGTATCAAAGTTTCACTGAGAGAATCTCAGTGTAATCAGATATTTATTTCCTTATTATAATAAATAGTCATTGTGAAATTATTTGATTAAAAGTCATATTTACAGTCAGAAATTGATAGTTAGGTCCTGTTGGCAGAAAGTATTAAGAAATGATTTTCCAGTAATTTATCAAAACAGGAAAAAAGCAGAATTTAAAGTGCTCAATTGTGTATTTGTGTAAGACTGTGTGTGTACAATTCATGTCTCTCCAACATAATAACACAGCTGGACTTTGGGGAGTGGGTGGCAGGCTTAAAAAAACTCCTCTCTGTTTCCTGTGTCACAAAAGTACAAGACTAGTTTGTGATAAACCTTGATAAACAGAGAGGCAAAGCAGAGTGTGTATAAGCAGTTGTCAGAGTGCTTCGCAGATGTGCTGCCTTTCTGTGGTAATGGCCCTGTCCACTTGTTCAGAAGATCCTCTTACCGGTGAAAATAAGAAGTACACAAAGTATCATTATTCTTGAGCCAAGAGGGAGCGCAGTGTAATCCACTCCTGATTTTAAACAGCGTCCTTGGTTAAAGACTTGATGACATCTAACCTGAAAAAGCTACCAGACATGCTTATATTTTCTAACGTTTCTATTGTTACTACTGTGTATACCACAGCCCTTTGACTCCTATGATAAAATTAAATTGCAGTTGAGATGGCAGTTTGTTAGCATTGTGCTCTGTGTTCAACAGTGTAGAAGAGCATGTTAAAACCTTTTTCACCACTCCCTAAAGTTTATAAATGTGAGGAAGTTGTGACTTCCTAAAGTCTGTAATGTGGATTTCTTAAGATACAAACATGTTTTATGACAAAGCTTAGTAAAACTACACTAGAAAATAGAGACTAAAAGAAAACTGAAATCTCAATCATTTGCTCCAGGCTCTCGCTGGAAAGCCATGACCAACCAAGAGAAGCAGCCATACTATGAGGAGCAGGCCCGCTTGAGCAAGATCCATTTGGAGAAATATCCCAACTACAAGTACAAGCCACGGCCCAAGAGAACCTGCATCATCGATGGCAAGAAGCTGCGCATCGGAGAGTACAAGCAGATGATGCGGTCACGACGTCAGGAGATGAGACAGTTTTTTGTGGGGTGAGTACCAGTGTCAGCAGAAAAGTTGTCCTTACAGTAAGCCTTCTATAAAAGTGCTTATACTAATTTGAAAGAAAGCTGCAGTGAATCCTTTTGTGTAGCTGTATTAAACTGTTTTCAATGTAAGTACCTTCAAATAGTAATAATGTTTAAAAGACTTCCATCTCAGTGGCTTAATGCTCATTGAACCTATAATTTTCCTTTTTAGTCAGTGGTGATGGAGATTCAGCCATTGTTGCCATCCTCAGCTTTTACTCAGTACTGTTCAGGAGACAGTTATGTGTTGATGAGGTCTTGAAGAACACGCGTAGCCTTTTTCAAACTGACCTGACCCTACCTTTCATGTGTAGAAATAAAATGACTACAATGTATGTGTCTCCTGTACAGTTTTTAATGACATTTTATATGTTATAAGTTACAACATTTTATAATTACAAGGTATATCTTTACAGAAATAGCTGGTCCCACACACTTTTCTTCATGACTGAACTGCATATAACGATGGAAGGAATTTTTCGCATTTTGTAAGAGGGGACATTGTGCAATGACAGCCACAAGCCTTGGATCAGAGAAAGGTTCTGTGTCTTGCTCAAGAAGACTCATTTACTGCTGCACCTGTGACCTCTCAGTTCATTTGGTTCTTTAATAAACATGCCATCCTGCTAGCCTTGGCCTGAATATGGGTATTTTAGCAGGAAGAATTACGGGCATTTTATTCAGATATTTCGCCAGCAAGTGCGCTGTTTCTTAGTACTTTATATGAAGTGTTTCAGTATGAATCTAAAATAAATATTTTTAACTACATCCATTTGCTATAAGTCTGTGGAGTGACCATAACCGTTAATTACCTTTTATGAAAGGTTTCTTCATTGAACCTCCTAGTTGTAGCTGCAAAACACTTTCAACATTCACTCAAGAGCATGATATTTTTTAGAGTGTATTCAGTGCAGCGAGGGGAAAAACAGTGGCATTGTCTTAATAGGAACCAGCCATGGATGTGTTTAAAGCCATCACAGTGGCCTGTGTTTGAGATGGATTTACCAGAGGCCACGGCTTTGAATAGGAGCGATTTTTAATAGCTTGTCATTTATTAAATTAGGACAATGCTGGGCGCTTGCGGGCAGTGAAATTGGACACAGACAGACATAGTGGAATATGAAATGTAAGCAGATGTTTGAGAGCGAACGAGAGCAAGGCAGACGTCACTGGGTGAATGCCACATTTACTGTGTGTGGTCAAGCAAATACAAAAAAAAAGCTTATGGTTCTCCAGGCCTGGACTTTCAATCAAAGCTAAATCAAATAGTTACTTGGAGCCAGTACACAACCAGTTTTCTGGCACATTCCATATAACTAAACCAGTGTTGTTTTAAAGCGCTTAATGTGAAAATGAGTCTGTCAGAGCGTACGGCGGTAATTGTTTCAGGAGACAGAGGAGGGAAAACTGTTAGGTGAGAAAAGTGACAGCAATTTTCCTGCTTTATGTGGTTCATTTGAGCAGCCAGAGGGCCTGTTTGAGTGATGTGCGTTTACCCTCATTCCATCTATATCTTAACAGGTTATTTAGCCGATGCTGCTGTGAGCTGGCAGGGAGAGCTCCATGTTAGGACATGCCCGGCCAGATGAGAAGCGTTGCTGTTTGACTTAAGTGGCCTGGGAATTAATGTTTTGTTCAAAGCAGTTTGTTCAAAGGAGGTTATAATGAATCAATCAAACACAGATCCATCCACCTTGTATAGTAACCAGTTGATAAATTAACTGTTGCTATGACTAAATCGTTCAACTTTGAATTTGATTATGCAGTCCGTGTCTTTATTGCCAGACTCTAAGGATGGCAGTGTTTGTCTGTTAATCTGTCAGTCCACAACATTGGTCCAAACTGAAGTGTTTCAACTATTCAGGGCAGGTTTGTCCAATACTTGGCTTAGTAATAATTGGTTTATACCAACAAAATACATGCAAAACTAAGGACATTTTCATCAGCCACAGCTGTAATTAGCAAATGATAGAATATTAACACCCTCAGATGGTTCACATCATACCTTGTTAGCGTGCAGACACAAGCATTTAGCTCAAAATACTGCTGTGTAGCTTCACAGAGCCACTAGCATGGTTATGTATAAGGGTTGTTTATTGTTTTTGTTATTTATTTTTGTTTTTGTATTAATAAACCTTTATTTAATACGTTACTTTTCTAATTCCATCCTCTCTTCTTTCCTTGTTTCTCAGGCCTCAGCCACCGATTCCTCTTGGCAACAGCCCGGGCGGTGTAGGAGTTTACCCAGGTGCCATAACCATGGCAACGACAGCCACACCATCCCCACACCTGACCTCAGACTGCTCCAGCAACTCAGCCAGCCCCGAACCCACCATCCCTGTCATTCAGAGCACGTACGGGGTGAAGTCCGAGCCTGGCAGCAGAGGCAACAATGGCGGTGGGGTCGGAGCCTTGGATCTGCCCAGCGACCCCACCAATGGAGACGATGACATGGACATGTACGAGGACTTTGAGGACGAGCCCAAATCAGACTATAGCAGCGACCACGAGACACGGGAGGCCGTCAGTGCCAACTGAGTGTACTCAGGGTCTCAGATGTAAAAAGAGAAAAAAAAGTAACTCCTGTTATACTCAAAGACACTTTTTAAAAACACAGTTTATTACAGAGACCCTTCAGGCAGGCCTTCAGGACATGCACTGAGCATGCCCAGACAGGATTCAAACTCTGTGGACATGCTCCGAAAGTGAGAAAAGAAAGAAGAGAAGAAGAGGGCTGGTGGGAAAAATGTGACCCAAGAAAACAACCTGAACAGACATTCAGACAACTTACTGACAATGAACTTCAGTTTCCTACACTTCGACAATCTTAACAGGAGCGAATAAGAGTTAGACAAGAGAGCGAGAGAGAGAATGGGACAAAGAACAAATGAGCGACGAACACATTGCTGTGTGGTTTGTAAAGAGCATGCATGGATTTTGAAGCATCAGGAGTTGGTCTTCAACAGCTATTTGGTCTTAAATGTTTAAGGAGTGATTTAGTTTTCATCATTATGTATTTACTTTTTTGTGGGTTTTTTTTCCTTTTTGTTTTTGTTATATAGACTTTTTTCTGACAGGTCACTGCCTGTACAAACTCTGGACTGTCGGAACTTGAAATTTGAAAAGTTTTAATATAAATCCTAGCTATTGTAATCTTATAGTCTTACTTTTGTTTCTTATGAATACAGTGCATCTACATAATTTTTTTCTGACAAACTGCTTACCTTACATTACTGTTTTTTTTATATCCCAGCTCAGGTATGATGTGCCAGCTTGTGAATGTGTTTTTGTTTTGTTTTGTTTGTTTT